GAGGATCCTGATCATTTTGAAAAACTTTTTACTTCTACACATCAGACAAGAGTCCCTGCGTCTGATGACTCCAACGGCCGCGGCAAATTTCGTTGTGCCTTTTACGGATCCTCAAGAATATTATTCCATTGTAAAATTCATAGACCGTTTTTTTATACAACAGGATTCAGTTTCAGCCACTTGACCAAATATGTTAAATTTCAATATTTTGATAGTATTCAGCCACAAGAGTAAAATGATGAGATAGTTTCCTTAAAGCTTCCTAAAGCCTACATTACGCCGTCGATCTCGTAATAAACAACTCTAATCTCAACAGAGATATTTTATTTTCGGGTAGACCACATACCGAACGTAAAAATCGCCTTTATTGACATATCTGACATACCTCTATCGATTTCCCCGAAACAAACGGTCGTAAATCATTTATACGTTCATCAGTAAACGCATGACTAGACTGTCCCGAAATACTTTCGATTGTTCGAAAGCGGGATGAAAATTCGTACGGGAGGCCGTGGAAACAAACGATGCCGCGCCGGCGGCGAGACAAAAAAGCGAGAATCGCCGCAGCACGATAAAAATTCCCAGCCTCCCCAGATAAAATCGGCAGCGTTTCACGTTCCACTGGGAAGGCGACTTTGGGCGATTTGGACACTCTCAGTGGCGCAGAAAGAGACTTATTCTAGGAGATTCACTTGAATTTCGAGCTACTTGACTTGAAACCAAGTCAAGGTTAAGTCAAGTATTAGATATTGGCAATCTGATGCCAAGTCAAGTAGTTTTTACGTCCGTGTGCCAAGTACTTGAAAATTCAAGTAGTCTTGATAATTTTTGTCATATAAAGACAAGGAGATTATAAATCTACAACGGAAAGACTTTATTTACACGAGTTCCAAAGAAAACGATACCTATTGAACAAAATAATTTGTTTATAGTGTAACAAATTAATAGAGGAAACTGTAAAACAGAAAGAAATAACTATTCTTCATCAGCTGTTACAAAAAATGAAAAATTCCAAGTTTGGTTCTCCTTCGCTAGCTACTAATTAAGACATATGAGGGTTCTAACGTACTCATACTTGGTGAATTTAAAAATGATGGAAGTGACCACACTCTCCTATGTCATAATAATTATTTTTAAGTTGTGCCTGTTACACAACATGTTTGATAGCGAAAGATGTAAGAACATTACATTTTGTTCTTGTAAAAAACATGTAAAATTAGTTGTCGAATTGTTTTCTCTTCTTTCGAATTTTAACTTACTTTTATAGAAAACTTGTGTGTGCCCGCCCAAAAATATACCTTTTATAGATGTCGCTGCGTTGCCCAAATGTCCTTGATCGGCTGCTGATCTTACGGCGCCTCTGATTTTTCTTCTTACCGATTTTGTTCCTGAATCTACCAAATTTCAAAGATACTGTCTACCGATTCCGTGTTTTTTGGTTTGGCAACGCATCGGTTGTACAATTAAATAACATTGAAGGTGAAAAAAAAAGTACAATTTGCCATCAAGTATCAAGTAGTTTGGAAATGATTGATATCAAGTCTTGTGGAACAATAGAAGAATCGAGACAGGCATTAATGTTTCAAGAAATTTTGTTTTCAAGCCAAGTTAAGTAGTTTACGAGAATATCAAGCTACTTAACAAGATGAAACCCTACTTAGTCTGTCATTACCTATTAGATTGGGAACGTCTTCATCATGAAATTAAGTACAAATTCAGGTAAACAATATTGGGAGAATCGTTTGAATATGACTTCGTTATGATCGTATTTATTTTTGTTATATTTTCCGACCTATCTACATGTCGTCATACCTTTCTGGCCTTATTTTTTCTCAAATATCAATATTAGATTGAAGTGTCATGAAAAATGACGCAGTCTCGATACACCAGAGCGAAGCAGTGACCCAAATAGACCTCGTCCTATGTTATAGCCTGTTACCAAAACGGAAAGGAGTAGCTTAATACATAGTACGCCACTGCTAATGCAGCGTGTCCTTGATTACGGCGGTATCTATACGCGTACGTTAGCAGTGACGTACGATGTGTTATGCTTACTCTCTTCTCTCTTAGAACTCGAATATACATGTTTTCATACTCTCTGGGCAATTCATTAAATTGCGAATAAGTAATGTCTATTCGTCATTGGCTGTCAGAGTGATCCGTATGACTTTGACGGCCTTGGCAAGACGAGGAAGTGCCTCGGTTGGAGGGGTGCATTTTCGCTGTCGACGCTGTGTGCTTGCGAACTTGCTCGACTGTGTAGTTTATTGACTCGCCCAACAAAGGGTTGCTGTGTGATTCCGCTTGATTAGGCAGGAAACGTTATTCACAGCATACTAGGTCCGTTAACAGTGTACAGTGAATATAATTATTTGTTATCTCTCTCATTTTTGAAATTCAGCAAATTTGTATATGTAATTTTCAGAATGGATAAGAAAAAGTGGATGCGCAACTAATTTCTAGCTTTGAATCTCAATTCAGTGTATTTGAGACAAGAACCCAATGTAATTATCATCAACACATACAACCTACAGCTTAGACCTCCAGTAACGCCATCTCAGAAGCAGATTTTACATCACATCAGAGCCAAAGATTGATATACGCCTCATGATGTTTAGGCAACACGTACAACTATGTGCTAAGATAATATCTTGTAGAAGACCCTACATAATGGCAAAAAAACCTGCATAATGTCAAAAAAAAATCAGCATAATGTCACTTTTCAAGATACGTGATACCCGTGCCGATATGGATATTTCTTTTATTAAAGTCCAAAATACCCAATCTCTTTTTGACAAGACAGTAAAAATACAAAAATAATTCTTTTAAGTGGGCCCATTCATCCATATTCCTTTTGACGAGTTGCCACTGCAATGCATGCCGATCTAAAGTCCAGATAGGGCTTTAAGGGGTATTAAACTTCGCACTCGTTGACACTGATGCATCTGTCGGGTGTCTTTTTTATTCCTTTTTCGTATGCAGTGTCGTTTAGCACAAGAGATTTTTGACATTTGCAAGTATATACCATATTTGGATGGCGTTAATGCCCCATTGGAATCGGAGAAATTTATTTATTTTCTTATTTTAGTATCAAAATGCCTCAATAGTTTAAATAACGGTTCATTACGTTAATAAGTCCCTAAAGCTTTTAGTGGTGGTTAAGCACGATCTTTTCAGCATTTGAAATTGAATTTCAGCTGTCAGTAGGGACCAGCAAATTCAAATAGATTAGACGATACCAAGCCTGTGCGAATATGCTTACATTGCATTGATTGTCGCCAAAATTGCGTAGTTTTGCTGCATACTTTCAACTCATCTGATTATCATTGCCTATCAAAGTGACAGCATCGTATGAACATAATAATACATAATACTTTCCGGTGCCTTCACTAGGTTAGTGCCGCTCTTTGCAAATCAGTTAAAAAGTACCATGTCTTGAAATCGTTTAATACTATAATTATTTGCAAGCACTCGCACTTTTAAAAAAGTAACACTAGAACTGTCAAAAAATTAAATAACTACTGTATCCTTGCTGAAACTGTATTTGTTGATAGCGACAAGTATTTCTATGAAGGGATTTAATAGAGAATTAGGATTCTTTCTTGCTACTACGAAAACTGCAAATCTTTAGCCGCTGTTTTCCATTCTTGACTTCACTGACATTTTCATTTATAGCAAGTCGATTATTGGTCTTGTAGATAACAAATTTAACATTTCAATGTCCCGTATCGTGCTTATAGACGTATGGACAATAACTGATACGTCAATGTAGTTGCGTAGTATCATTATTCGCGCATTATAAAGGTGATCGCAAAAAACGTTGATATTTTTAGATAAACTTCATTATAGACCATCAAGTTTTTTTGTGCCTATACCGTTAATTATGCAAAATCGATGACAAAAAATAATGTCATGCTAATGACTGTACATTAGGACGAGTATTTTATACAGTATGGCTGTTTTCTGAAAAGATTAGATAGAGTGAAATAAAATATCCATAAAATGCCCAGTTTTGCTAAAAATCTGATTGCTTCCATGCATTTTTTCTGCTAGATGTTTTTCCATTTTGTGCCAAAATACTTCCGTGGAAAAATAATAACAATAGTGAAAAAAATTAAATAACAGTAAAATAGTGATTTTAAAAGTCAGAAAATGTTTTTAGTTAACGTCTATGGTATATAACATAAGAACAGAAAATCAAAACTCACAAATCCAAACTAAACATAATTTTATCTAAATGAGTTATATCGACTGCAACACTTTTCCCTATCACGAACCTACTGCAATAAAATATTTTCTAAGCTGTGCGATTTCTTGATAGCCTGCATTTCGCTTTATCAGAACATTATCTTAATGTTTTTGCTTCCACGTGCGTCTACTTACAAGTGGTATCTCGAGCTGAATTTGCATACGGTGTGTAATATTTGGAACCTAAATGTCGCTAGGAATGTTTTGACAAGGTGAGAATGCGATGATAAATAAACATTTCGATACTAATTGTGTCGATAATTACGAGTTTGAAAAAATGTACGAATACCAAATTAGGTTCTCACAAGAATGATATACGAGTACTTCAGTTAATCAACACTATTAGGGATCGAGCGGTACCGACATATTTATCGGCAATATCGACCTATTATACCGATATAGTTCGGACGATATAAATATTGTCAAGTTAATTACGTTTAATATTATTGAACTGAAGATAAAAACAGCACACTGCAGAGAAGACTAGGGTGTTCATTTGAAAACCTCTCACCACTGATTAAGAGGAAAAACGGCGAGACATGTCAAAGGATTTGTCAAGGGGTTCAACCTTTTGACCAAAACCTACTTCACCCCCTGTTCCCCAGGGTTCGGCCCTTAAAAGTTTTAAATGACAAGGCGTATCAAGTAATAGATTGTTTGAAAGATCTTTCAAAGTTATTTATTTTGACGTTTGATTTTTTGAACCAGAAAATAAAAAGCCAACAAAAGTCATTCGTTCTCGAAGTGTTTCGAAAAAGATGGTGGCGATATTTGTGTCAAAAGCGGGTCATATTGCAACAATTCCTCATAATGAGCAAAGAACTGTTACTGCGGATTGGTATAGCACCATTTGTTTGCCAAAAGTCATCACCGAGCTTCGAAAAATCAACCCCGAAAGAAGAATCATCCTCCACCAAATCAATGCAGGCTCGCAGACAGCCCAAAAAACAAGGCAGTATTTAACGGAAGAAAACGTGGAATTATTGGACCATCCTCCATATAGCCCCGATCTAAGTCCTAACGATTTCTTCACTTTCCCGAGAATTAAAAACAGACTGCGTGGTCAAAGGTTCCAGTCACCAGAAGAAGCAGTTGACGCATACAAAAATGCCGTTTTGAATCTGCCAGCAAACGAGTGGAATAATTGCTTCGAAAATTGGTTCGAGCGCATGCAGATGTGTATTAATCTTCGTGGAGAATACTTCGAAAAACAATAAAGTCATTTAGAACTACCTACGGTGTTGTTTTATTTCCATAATATGCAAAACTTAAGAAACATCCCTCGTATTGCCACGTCTGATCTTCCGAATTGCTGTTTATGTTGGTAGTTTCCGTATTAAATTATAAACGAACTGTAGATTTGGCAATCAATAACGGGCAACATTTTAGACACTTATTGAAATAAAAAGTGATATTTTCGTGTGTTTTGTTGTCTATTTGAACAAATTAAGATAAATATAGATTTGTCTAATTTTCTCGAAAACGGATGGACTGATCTTAAAAAATCAAACGGCAAAATAAGGGACTTCGAAACACCTTTCAAACAAGGTATTACTCGATACTCCTTGCCTTTTAGAATTCTTAAGGGACTGACCCTGGGGGGCCGAGGCTGGAATGGGGTGAAGTAGTTTTTGGTTAAAAAGTTGTCTCCCTTGACGAATCCTTTGACATGTCTCGGCGTTTTTTTCGATAAATCCGTGGTGGGAAGCTTTTAAATTTTTGTATTGTTATTATCGTATTTAAGTAGGTTATGTGTCTCTAAAAGCAAAACTTCATAACTGGCTGAATCTTTAATCGGTATACTCGCCGGTGTGAGATTTAAAAAGATAATACCTCATATTTAGTTTGCCGCTACTTTCCCCAAAGAAGTCTGTTTTTTGCATAAGGTACAAATTGCACTATAGATTTCGTCTGTCTATAATCAGTAATCAAGCATACATGGAGGTATGTATGGAAAATGTACTGTAACTGAACCTTGCAGTATACCCGCAACGATAGTCACTCAACAAAATAAAGTTGCATTCAAACTTACTAGATTTTTTTAAAATTTCGCATGGTAATCAGCAGAAGAAGATCAAAGTAAAACTCTTTTAACTATTTTTATGACGGAGACGCATTTTTTAAATAATTTTCTTGGAAAACCGTCTCGGCGATTCTGAAGCGTGAAAAAATTGGCTTGTACTCCTTTTTTATCGACTCGAGGAAGCTTCATTCACTAACGAATAGGCAGCAACTGTTTTTTACGTGTGTCTGGTCCGGTCGAGAAAAAAAGTTGACAAGCGGCCAGCGTTATTGAGTAATTTTCACATTTATATTTTTTTATTTAGATTTTGGCGCTGCTCCTATTTTTAATTTCAGACTCTGATTTACGATATGTTTTGGGAATTCGAGGTTCGCGACTACAAAAAATATTTTGAAAGGAAAATTATATTCGGCGCATTAAGTCTGCTGCAAATTGAAAAGACTGCCAAAAGTGGTTGTATCAAATTAAAGATAATAGCTTTTTCAAAATATCGTAAAACCGTACGTCTATGATATATACTAAGTGACATATAAATCCGAACACCCAGTTTAAATGGTTTTATTTTAATAAAAGTTGGTGAATGTATTTATCTTACTGTAAATAACAAGTGAAAAAATTTTCAGCCTTATCAGTTGGACATTCCGGTTTTTATACTGCTTTTTTTAATTCACTAACGCTCTAAAAATTAATATTTCAGCCGCAGTAAAGAATCAACGTTGGCGGATTTTGGTTCTTGACATCCTTTACGATCGGTTACGATGCCTAGAGTACGGAGACCTGTACGATTTCGTCAACTTAGTGAGTTTGATAGGGGGTATAGTGGGACTTTGGGAAGCTGGATTTTCTTTTCGGGCAATTGCAGTTAGAGTGCAAAGAAGTGTAGACACTGTGGTTAGGTGTTGTCAGGCATGGCTTCGAGAAGGCCGTACGCAAAGAGCAAGGGGCACTGGACGCCGCCGTAGAACAACAGACCGTGAAGATCGCCGCCTAAGATTATTGGCCTTAAGGGACCGTTTCTCCACTACCAGGTCCATTGCAAATGAATGGTTTGCAGAACACGGAAGACCTATTGGCATGGGAAGTGTTTACCGACGAATGAGAAGTTTTGGCTTGTTTTCATACCGGCCACACTGGGTTCTCCCTTTAACTCGAGAACACCGACGTAATCGCCTTGAGTGGTGCAGACAACGGTCACTCTGGGATCAGGAATGGAACAGTATTGTCTTTAGTGACGAGTCTCGATTTTATTAAGGCATGCACGATGGTCGTGCCAGGGTTAGAAGGCGACGTGGTGAAAGGAGGAATCCACAGTTTTTTGTTGAAAAACATGTTCATCACACTGTTGGAGTTATGGTTTGGGGTGCTATAGCTTATGGTTCCAGGTCACCTTTAATCTTCATCAGAGGTAACATGAACGCGCAGCGTTATATCCACGAAGTTCTAGAACCCCATCTTTTACCCTATCTTGACACCCTGGCAGATCCAACTTTCCAACAAGATAATGCCCGACCACATGTTGCAAGAGTCACAATAGACTTCTTTCAACATAATGATGTCACATTGTTACCATGGCCACCAAGATCTCCCGACTTATCCCCAATTGAGCACGTGATGGGTAGGAGATTGCTCAATTTGCAACGTCCTCCTCAGACTCTAGAAGCACTTCGAGAGGAGTTGGTGGTTGCCTGGAATGAGATACCACAGGAGGACGTTGACCACCTGATCAGAAGCATGCCTAGGCGCGTTGGAGAATGCGTAGCACATCAGGGTGCATCCACACATTATTAAAGGTCAAAGGGCTTTAAAGCAGTGCAATCATTTTGAAATTTTTATCATTTACTTATTATGGTTCATTAAGTACTTATACAAAATTTTATTAAAATAAAACCATTTAAACTGGGTGTTCGGATTTATATGTCACTTAGTATATTATAGACAAGCAAATTGCTCTAACCATCGATCCAGCGTGATGCGTGGCGCCTGGCGGTCGAATCTAAATTTTTTTTCGGTATTTCCGCCAAGAAATATTATTGAAAGTTCTATCAATTCTCGATAGTCGTTTCTAGCAACTTATTTGGTCAACTCATGTCGATAAAATTCTAGCAGCTTGCCAGTCTCTGAATTATTCAGGCATGATAGCTTCTCAGTATATTTCTGTATTTTCTCGGAGACCTCACTTTTCCAGCTCTCACGAAACTTCTTAAAAATTGGAATGCAAGGGCTTGCAGTTACTTTGTCGATTTTTGATTCAAATACGCCCTTTAAGATCAATTCCTAGACGTGATGGCGACAAGCAAAAATAAGCATTTCTTTATTAAGTTTCTGTTCGACAGGTACGTAGGCACGGTTAATTTGATTCCAGTCATTAATAGCATCCCAAACTGACTGAGGCCGCTCGCTGCCTGAAGATTTATCCAATTTGTTCACAGCGATAAGTTCCTTTTTATTTGATTGATGACTATCAGTGTTACGGGATCATTTAAATTAACAATTTAGTTTTCACATGTAATTCCTGCAACCATTTACATTTTAACAGCCATAATTCAAAGACCACCAGAGTTTTACGAAAGACCCGGAAAGCCGAAAATGCTTTTGCTTAACAGACCGTGGATCTCTTAGATCCCTGATCCGGTAACTCCTGTAAATCAAACAGTGTTTTGCAGACACTAATGAACACTGGCACTAGAACAATGGGGCATTATTGTCTTGAATTATCGTCACATTAGAAAAAGTTGAAAATTAGATCTGGTGAAAATACCGGTTCTGTACTAGGTAAACTTCAAGGGATCATTCTTTGAATGTTTGTGACGAAAATGAGGTCTAAAAATAGGTTCGACATTGTTTTTTACGGTTCAGGTTGTCAAACTTTTTCGAAATATAGTTTCTTCGAAAATTCAGATAGATGTTTGTTGAATTTTGCGGTACACGACGTAGAAATCTGGAATGGATTAAACAAAAAAAACCTATCAAGGAATCACCCCTTGAAGTTTGACACAGTATTTTTTAGAGAAGATCTAAGAGCTTGAGATGAAAAGTGCAATTTTCAAGCGAATCGGTGAGTGAGTGATCGTGATGTTTTCATTCATAAGTGCACATTTATGCTTAACAAGAATTATTGAAATATTCAGATCTGTCGTTGGTTCCGTTTCAAAATCAATAAGTTCTCAAAATAAATTCAAACAGCGACTCACTATGATCATCTCCAGGACAGCTTTTACAGCATCTTCCTGGAAGCAACACTGGCTCTTCACAAGTTGGTTCAGGGCACTCGCTTTTGATGTTCCTGCACTGGACCCTCGCTACTATTCTTCGTTTTCTTTGGATCTGTAAAAAAATAAACGGTAGAAAAAGGTTCAGCGATAAACATGCGAAAATCTAGATCTTTGGAAACCTCTCAAAACTCACGTTACTCTGATGTCGCGTATTTTGTCAATCTTTCAGATATACTATATTTGAAAGATCTGTGTACTTTGATGCTAGTTTGAATCTAAAACTCTCTAGCTCAATCCGAAACGTGCTATTAAAGTCGTAGATGCATACGTATATGCTAAATATAAGAGTGTACAAAGCAAAAATTTTATTATTTGAAAATTTAATTGTTGGCGCCTATAAGTAATAAATCTTTTAAATCTTTTTGATGAACAAATTTATTGTTGTTTAATAGCTCTACATTACCAACGGAAAAACAAATAGTAATTTGCAGATTGCAATCAAACGTGACCTTCGTAGACTTAGAAAGACATCGATTAAAGAATCGGTAAGGCTGAGATCCGCTTTACGAGTGATAAAAACAGGATATGTGGGACTAAACACACTATAAAGTGGTAACGAGTATAAAATATTTGAAAACTCAGCTGTTGCTCATAGTTGAGTTTTAGTGAGATGTACGAGCCCCTTCCCACTTCAGTTGGCCCAACTATTGAAATCTTAGCTTTTTCTTATCAAACACAAATAATAAAAATATAGCAGGGTGTTATAGGTTTAAAATATTAACAATGAATATTTTGATAATATATAGTAGAAAACACCAACTTTATCAAATTTGCAGCATAAAAATAACACATGTCGCAATTACAGCATATCAACCAATTTTCATTTCAATGCAAAATAAGTCTATAACGCATAGGTGGCTGTGAAAAATAAAAGCCATGACAATTGTTTTTATTAATCAAAGCTGTCAGAATACGTTTAAAATAGTTTTGGGTAGTGAAGGTTTTCAAAATGGGTAGAGGAAAGGTTATTAGTGAGAAAATTCGGTTACTGATAATTAATTTTTTTAATTCTGGAAAATCAAACTCAGAAATTGCAACTTTCCTAGACTTATCGCGGTACAGTGTGAGAAGTATTGTTAGAAGATATAACGTAACTGGTTCAGCTAATATTATCACAAATGCCGACCGAAGAGCATTAAGAAGAATAATTGTGAAAAACAGGCGTGCCAATTATTTACAATTAACTGCTCTGTGGAGTGACGCCGTTGGAAGGAGAATTTCGAGGTCCACAACTCATAGAGAGGCCCACAAACTGGGATTTAGCACTTGCAAGGTAAGTTTTCTTATAAAAAAAAGTGAAGTAAAAACCCTAAAGTTGCACAACTTGTTTATAGGCCAAAGAACAGTCACTATTAACTCCACTGCAAAAGAAAAATCGGCTTAGATGGGCTCCATTATGGTCTGGGGCAGTATGTCATCAAAAGGAGTAGGAAAACTTCATTTTATTGATGGAAATGTAGATACAAACAAATATTTTCCAATTTTAGAAGAATCGCTTTTACCAGTGATGGAAGAATGTTTGACATCCGGCCAAGATTTTGTGTTTCAGCAAGATGGTGCAGCGTGCCATACCTCAAAAAAGGCTATAAAATGGATAGAAGAAAATAATGTACCACTTTTGAAATGGGCTTCTAGCAGTCCAGATCTGTCACCTATTGAAACTTTGTGGCACGAGATGAAAAAGGTTCTACGACAACATCCTGCTCGTACAATCACCGAACAGAGACAAGAGCTTCAAGAAATATGGGATTAATTTACACCAAATTTTTGCCAAAACTTGGTTAACGCTATGCCCCAAAGAATTTCAGCCGTAATAAAAGATAAAGGTGATGTTACCCAATGGTAATCTTTCAATTGTTGCTTTGTTAACTTGGCGTAGTTATTCGCACATTGTTTATTTGTTCAGATGTTCTATTAGTTATAGGTCTAAGTGATTTCAAATATGTATGTTTTGCGACTAGAGTGTATCTAAAATGTTTCTGAGAAAATAAATTGTTTCAGAAGTGAATAGTTTCGTCATGCTTTGCTTATAAATGCATATTTTGGTACAAATCTTGAAGTGGGCCAACTGAAGTGGGAAGGGGTCGTATATAAACTGTCGAGTTTGCAATCTTTAACGCATTGTGACGCGAGCGCCATCTGTAGGTAGTTAGGACAACTAGCAGCGCCATCTATCGGCGGCTGTATGAACTAGGAACTCCGAGAACTAGCCTCGATGTTACCCGAGTTTTCTACTGCCAATCGACGAGAATTCGGAATCGCCGCTCAGTTAATCTTGTTATAGATTAATGATGTAGTGATATAAATTAGAGTGTCAGCGAGTGATAAATTAGTTTGTTACAGTATTCTAGAAATTTCGTGATATATGGGTTCCTGAACCAGACATGTTATTGTCAATCTATACCTTGAACATCGTCCGTGAACATATTTGTAAGCTTAACCAATGAAACCAGAGACGACTGTATTTGAATTACATAGAAAACATCTGTCGCGGACCCCATATCTACATAACATTCAACCAGAGTAGTTGAAAAATCTCGAAGGAGTACAAATATGTGCAAAATGATAATGTTATTTGAGATGTTTACCGGCATATGAATACTATCTGGTAAAATGTCAATAACATTTGATTTGCAGCGCTACTGTGGCTTGTAGATACAATAAACGTGCAGATGTGTTTCAGCCAAAAGAAAAAAGCAAAATTCTATTAGTATGTATGGATAACTGAGTGAGTTAATTGTGTACCGGCTCTAGCTGCAAGGGAGCTTCTAAGAAGAGCAGGTCATTTAAAAAGATGTGCGATAATGTTTCGTTCTCAAGATACAGCGTTTTCTGAAAAATTGTTGTTTTTTCGAAAAAAAAAGATGGTGAGAACTCATTAACCGAGTTTGTCAGCATTTGCCGAAATTCGTTAGTTACGCACGCATCGCCGATTGTTTAGTTATTATTAATTGAGAAAAGCTCTTTAGTAGTACCTTAGATCATCTCCCTTCTAGATCATCGGACTCAAATCCGTTAATTTTTTTATTTTTCAGAGGTTTGGGGCTGGATGTTTATTGTGTTTATATATTATGTATTTCAACAGATTCTCCTACCGCTTTTCTTTTCTTTGTATCAGCTTCAATGATTTTTACCGGCTAGACGAACATTTTTTGTGATAAAAAAAGTCGCTGTTTATGTATATTCTTTTACACATTACGATTCTTGCACTGTACCTGTACCTATAATGTGATTTAACCTTTTAAAATGTTTTGTAATTGTAATGTCCTTATTTATTTTATAATTATAAGTATTTTTCTGGCATATTTGCTCAAACGCATATATGACCCTCAAATTGATATTGACAAGTCTTATATCATGTAACATGATCTAATAGGACAATAAACTATCTATCTATCTATCTATCTATCTATAACCTCGTTTTTCCAAATTGGTTCAATCAATAAATTGCAACGATAGATCTATACTTAAAGTTCAAAAAAGCTGGCAAAATTGGCTAAATGACTATTGCGAAGAAGAAAAAAGTATACTCCTAAGTCACACATGTATCAAATGCGACAGTGACCGGCGGTGGTCTCTTTTCTATTCCAATTCGCTGTGTCATTAACTATTTGACAACTATCCTACCAATTGCCATGGGCGCCCGCAGGAATTTCTACCAGTAGGACCAGTACAAATATAAACGTGCTCTCAAAATTCTATGACATGGAAAGAATTAGCTCCGTCAAAAGATATCGTGGGAAAATGGGAGCTCCCAAAACTTTTTGAGGAGCGGTAGGAGACACATTTTCCCTGTCACGTCCAAATCTTAAAGATCCTACCAGAAACTGCTTTCCCATATTAGCTGCATGTTATATTAGATAATTCCTTCCTTGAGGAAAATAGCTCTGACAGATACAAGCCACATGCTTTTGTTGCTTGATCTTCTTTTTTAAATTCTTGTTGGAGTGTGCCAGACAGTGGCGGAAATCCTACCAAATTCAACGTACCCTTTTATGGACGGACTTTCGTATCTGCAAAAGATTCATCAGCTATTCTTGTTAAACTATAGATCAAATACCACAAATATTTTGGAAAGCATACATTTATTCTGCGATAAGACATTAAAATCGTAACCGACTCGTCTATGATGTGACTCAGTATCATCTTTCTTCAAACTGTCGCTTTCAGAATAAGTACGTGATATTTGCATTTATATGGTAGTAAAGCTACGATTTTATATGGTAATCAAGTTAATTTATTCCAGAACAATGATAAACGTTGTCGACAGTTTTTTCTCTTATGTACCGGCTTCTTAATGCGACGTAGTTGATCGGTTTACTTTAAAACGTCGAAGTTAAAAATAAGTCTGACCTGATAGTCGCGCCATGGATACCTTCTCTTCCTAGATGCATCTTTTGAATAACAAGTAATAATTATTATACATTTATTATGTGTGAGGTTATAATGAAACATCCGTGTGGGTTAGAGAACAAAATCAGATTTTATATATCCTTTCGGCAATGATGTTGGGCGCTTCCTCCAAACATTCAACGTCTTCTACATACTTGTGCGCAATTTGAGCAGACATCTATAGCCCTCTGAGAGAAACAGTACGAGTAAGCACTGATTAACGTACCCACTCATCAAGTCGTGGAATAGTAGGAGTAATATTTATTTACTCTAAAATACAGGGAACATAAAACGAGTCAATAAATATAATTTATCCATAGAAGGACGATGCCTGTGCATTGATCACATATATACTAAGTGACATATAAATCCGAACACCCAGTTTAAATGGTTTTATTTTAATAAAAGTTGGTGAATGTATTTATCTTACTGTAAATAACAAGGGGAAAAATTTTTAGCCTTATCAGTTGGACATTCCGGTTTTTATACTGCTTTTTTTTAATTCACTAACGCTCTAAAAATGAATATTTCAGCCGCAGTAAAGAATCAACGTTGGCGGATTTTGGTTCTTGACATCCTTTACGATCGGTTACGATGCCTAGAGTACGGAGACCTGTACGATTTCGACAACTTAGTGAGTTTGATAGGGGCCGTATAGTG